ACACAATCCACTTGCAGTTCCAGGAAAAGGAAAGGCAAAGGAAGTAAGAACTCGGGCTCCACAAGCGTAAGAACTACTCTCCTGCTCTCTGTCTGGGCCCTCACGCCAGGGAAGAGACTGGCTCGCCGAGCGTCGGCAGGCGTCTGTCCCCAGTGCTCGTGTGTGTCATGTTCTCCTCAATGGGTGCCAGGACTCACATTTTCAGCTTCTTTGTTTTCTCTTACAGAGACATCAAGCCAGACAACATACTGCTGGATGAACACGGTAAGCCTGCTGTGAGTGCTTTATGGAGGCTCTTCCAGTGGGAGGTGGAGGCTCTGGGAATTTAGCGGGGGTCCTGGGGAGCTGGATTGTTGGGTTGATGAGAGAGCCTTTTTGGATTTCAATCCTGGTGAATGAACACCTGTGTAAATTTCTGGCCTGTGTTCTGCTGCCGTGAGTCGAGTCTAATGTATTTGAAGGTGTCACATCTGGAGACATCACACCGTTCACGTCCTGGTGAGGGGACGAGCAGGCACAAGTGGGAATGGAGTATAGGGCTGGGAAGCTCTGAGTCTCCACCCCCAGCTCCCTGACCTGTGAACCCAAGGCTTCAGAAAAGTCACTTACCTCTCTGAGCCTCAATGTCATCTTCTGTGAAACAGGGGAATGGTACCCACCTTCCAGGTTGTCATGGGATCAAATGAGATAGTGCACGCTTGGCAAACCGGACATCAGTAATCAATAATCTGCTGAGCCGTCCCTCAGCCAGGCTTGCCAAGCTGCCAGGGGCAGGTGGAGGCTGGCGGCTTCTTTCCCTGATTCAGCAGATTGGCGGTGGGCCTGGGGTTCTACCTTTCTGGCAGCTCCCGGATGAGGCTGAGACGGCTGGTTCCTGGAGAAGCTCCATGTCAGGGGCTCCCCAACTCTGGTCTTGCTGGGATCTCCTGGGGCACTTGGTGAGAATCAGAGGCCAGACCCTGTCCTGTTCAGAACACTTGGGCCTCTGCTCTGGGTCAGTCCCCGGAACGCGGCACCCAGCCAAGTCAGGACTGAGTCAGGAGCGCAGCCCAGTGATGACAGGCCGTCACTGCCGCCCATGCCAGCGGCAGCTGTGCCGACAACCGCCAGGCAGCCTTGAAGACTACAGTCGCTGGCATTGCTTCAGGGACTTGTGCCCCGAGGGCTTTGGGGAGTGGGGGCTGGAGTGAGCGGGTGGGGATCTCTCTGAAAGCTGAGTGCTGCTGAGTCATTTGGGGTGAGTCTGCCGCCTCTTCTGTGTGGCTCCCCTGGACCTCCCTCCCCCAGGCCCCGTGGGCTGAGGCCGTGGCTTCTGCTCAAAGCCTTCCTAGGACTTGTGTGTGTCACCAGTGTGTCTCAGGGAGTCCTACTCATTGTGTAAACCCCTTGGTACTGGGAGGCAGAGTCGGAGTGCTGGTTGGGACCATCTGAGCTCCCATCTCCTGCCAGGTGCTGAAGCCAGACGAAGCGCTTGGGGCAGTGGGTTGAAATCTCTGACTTCAGGATCTCTGCTCCTGAAAGGGTGGCCTCAGGGCGCCAGGGAAACTGGGCAGAGCTGAGGATGCCAATCAAGGCCCCCAGTGTGTATCTAAAAGTCAGGATCCCCAGGCCTGGATCTCAGCTGACCCCCCGAGGTGTGAGTCTTCAGGCGAGCTGCAGAACAGAAGTATCACCACCTCACAGGGTGGCGAAGGCCTGAGACAGGGCGATGAAGGTCTTCTGCTGTCACAGCCCTGGGACATGAAGGGTGCTCAGGGGGGGCTTATACTGGCTTATGTTACTCAGCTTCTCCTGTCCCTTCTCTGCTCAGGTCACAGAAGCAGGTGAAGTGAAGGGGGGAGAAGGCACAGGCTGGGCTCTGCAGGACCCGTGGCAGGGCGGTCCCCAAATCCAGGGCGCTGGTGGGCAGGGTTCTGGGCAGAGCCCTCAGTGCCCTGCCTAGTGACTGAGAGAGACTTTCAGACAAAGACCCTTCAGGCCCCAGGCAGCTTTTCGGAAGCAAGATTAAGGCAGGAACACCAGGAAGAGGAGTAATTCAGCCACTTCACCTATGAGGCAGTGCGCCTCGGGGAGCCTCCGGGGTCACCTGGGCCTGCCTGGAGGAGGGCCTGGCTTTTCCACGTGGGGAGATGGACTTTCCCAAAGATGGACAGAGAGCCAGGAGAGAGAGACAGAAGGGCAGTGCCTGCCTTTTGCCCTGTGTGTCACTGAGGGCCCTGGCTCAAAGTTCACTGACCAGGTACTGTCAGCTTTCTGTATCTGGGGGTTCCATGTTCTCAGATTCAACCAACCTCGGCTCGAAAACATTCAGAGGGAGAAAACATTCCAGAAAGTTCCAAACAGCTGAACTTGAATTTGTCCAATGCCTGCAACTGTTTACACGGCATGTGCGTGTGTATTTGTGGCTGTTACGTAGCATTTACATTGTGTTGGGTATTAGAAGCAAGTATTCGAGACGTGTGTTGGTTATGTGAAAATGCTACACTGTTTTATATAAAGGACTTGAGCATCCAGAGATTTTGGTGTTGGCGTGGGTCCTGGAACCAATCCGCTGCAGGTACCGCAGGACACCTGTAGCTCTGTCCTCGTCTATGTGCAGGAATGATTCCTTCAGTTTTGCAGACCTGCCACAGTCCAGGCATTGCACCAGGGACTGAGGGACACAGAGCCCCTGTGGTCAAGGGCCTCGTGGTCTAGGGTGGCAGTTCTCAGCCACGGCTGCACATCACCAGGAGCTGGAAAAAGTGCCAGAGCCAGGGGGTCATCCGCAGAGGTGCTCACTTGACTCATCCTGCAGGAGAATGTACTCAGTGGGGGAGATTTTTAAAGTTTTAAAGCCAGGTGGTTCTAAGGTGGAGCCAGGGCTGAGGGAAGGACAGAAAATGAAACAGGTGACTCCAACCCAGCGGGGTCAGTGCTGGGATGGGCCGGGGTGAGGCCGTGTAATAGCAGAAGGGCAGCAAGGCCAGGGCAGGGCGAGGGCGGGAGGGCTTCCTGGATCCGGCAGCCTGAGTGGGCTCAACGCAGCACTGGGGAGCAGAGCATCCCAGAGGGCAAGTGAGATGCTCCCCTGGCAGGAAGCCGTGAGGACCCCACACGTTCTTGACTATTTCACAGCTCGCTGTGAAGTATAGAACTCACTCTTTTCTCGTGGCCTTGGGATGGATGCCTGGGGATCATAAACTTGACCTGGATCAGGTGACCCACGGCCAGGCCAGCAGAACGAATTTGTTTTCTCGTTATATTCAACATGTCTTCTACTTTCTATATTCTGATCCTTGACTTCTGCACACTTCAGGCCACTATCCACCTGCCCTAATCACCCCCAGTGCCAGGCACCAGACACCCAGGGACAGTTCCTGTGCCCAGAACCCCTGAAGTTATTCAGACCAGCCAGTCCTAAGCCTGCTTGCCCTACCCCGCCTGCTCCTTCTCACAAAAACCACCAGAAAGTTCTTGCCCCAGTCTTCTCCCTCTCCCTCTGTCTCATGACCAACCCCTGTGCTTCCCTGGGTGGCCCCCACACAGCGTGATGTGCCCTCTCCTCTTGGGATCTGTGAGTAACTCTCTTCTCCAAGGCAACTGTCTTCTAATCTGTTGGTCTTACTCTCCCTCAAAGTTTCTATGAACAGACTTCATTTCAGAGCTCTCATTAGCTGGAGGTATTTCAAAGAATTGTCTCTCCATCTGTCACTAACATATTTGTTGATAAATGCGATGAGTGCCCCCCAAAATGGCAGTGGCCAGCAGCAGCAACACCCCCTTCTCTTTTGTCAAAACACTGTCTGTGCCGTCTCCACCACGCCGGCAGGAGGCTCCGGGAAATGCGCAAGTCCGGCATGTGTTGTTTCCGGAGCTTCCGACGCAGGGACTGGGGCAGCTGCGGGGGACGTGGAGAAGGCCACCCGGGCAAGTGTGGGGGGCAGAGCTGCTTCTGCTGAGTCTGGGGAGCGGGTGTCATTCTTCTAGACGGGATTCCAGGAGCTTAAGGATAAGGGATAGGGATGTGGTTTAATGCTATTCTGGTGTCCTTGGGAGGGTTGTAATGAGGTTCTTTCTGAAGCTGCTGGGAGGGAAAGGATCCCGCACAGTGTGATGTCTTAAAGTCCTAAGGACCCCGTGCCGGAATCCGTGGTGGATGGATGCGAGGCTGGGAATGACAGTGGAAGGGGATTGGGGTGTGGGGGGCCCAGGGGAGAAGCCTAAACCAGTCAGGTTGCCATGGACTAAATGTGTCTCCACCAAAATTGATATATTGAAGCCTTAGCTCCCAGTGTGATGGTACTTGGAGCTGGGGCCTTTAGGAAGTCAAGAGGTTTGGAAGAAGTGATGAGGTTGGAGCTCCCATGATGGGATTTTGCCCCGTAAGGGGTGAAGGACCAGAGATCTCTCTCTCTCTCTCCACCATGTGAGGATACAGTAAGGAGACTGCCATGTAAACCAGGAAGAGGGCCCTCACCAAGAACCCGATCATGCTAGAACCTTGATCTTGGACTTCCAGCCTCCAGGACTGTGAGGAATAAATGTTTGATGTTTACGCCACCCAGTCCAGGGTATTCTGTTTTGGCAGCCCGAGCCAGCTGGGACACACCCATCGTGGTAGTGAGTTTCCTGTCACTGGAAGCAAGCAAAGGCTAGATGTACATTCATCAGTAATATAACTCTCCGGCCAGGTTCTGAAGAATGAACGGGAGCCTGCCAGTGAGAGGAGAGGGAGAAGCATTCTAAATGGTGCCAAAGTCTTGGAGGTGTGATGAGTTTCCATGTGTTCAGAGCAAGGAGGGAAGCACGGCTGGAGGGCAGGATGTATCAGCAGGGCTGGGAGGATGATTATTGATTATTGATACGCTCATTAAAACTTCTACTAATGGGCCTCATGCAATATCCTGGGCACCTTCTCCCTCTGAGTTTTGAACGTTTTACAGATATGGAAAGCAAAGCGCCGAAAACTCAGTTCGTAGTTGCACGTTTTGTAGTAAATTTCCACTCTTCCGAGGAGGAACTCAGAGGAGACCTTGTATGGCACTAATTTTCACTTTCCCACATCTTGCCTCAACCGTTAAAGGAGGCACACCAGGAAGTTACAGCTCATCAGCTAGCCGGGTACAGACCCCAGGAGTGGGGCTCCGCTGTCTGGCGCACCTGCTGTACGTGAACGCCTGCGTGTCCACCAGCGGGGCTGCTTCAGGGCTGCCCCAGAGCCAGGAGGAGGCGAGGGCCGGGCTGTCCCACTCAGCTCTGAAGGGGACAGCAGGGAGAGGGAA